TTGTATGTGGCAGATATACCATGGCCTGGATGAATGAGAACCTTCACAGACATATATTAGCGTTGTATATCAGAGTTGTATATCAGAGTTGTATATCAGAGTTCTATATCAGAGTTCTATACAGCGTTCTGTACTATAGCAGTCAGTCATACTGGTCTATTATAGCAGTCAATTCTAACAGTCGATTATTGCAGTCTATTGCAAAAAGCATCATGTCAGAAAGGCCAAAAAGAACAGGCTGCCTCCCCAAGCAGTTGTTTAAAAGATTAAAGGAAACCCAATTACCAGCAATTGAAATGTAATTTTTTTAAAAAATGTCAGTGTTCAATGTTTTATTTAATTTAGGTTCTTTACATCATACAGATCCGCCCCTTCACAGGCAGTTTAAAGGGACCCCCAGACACGATATTTAAAGGAATTTGTCATCGTTATTCTTTACCTTTAAGTGATGTAAAAATCACTGCTCCTTTAAAAACGTTTTTTTTTCCCATTGATTCCTGTCCCCTAGTGCAGTACCCAGATTGTACGCACTGTATTGGTTGATATTTTATTCCATGTGTGACCAACACTCCGGGTAAAAGCTTCTAACTGAATTTGCCAGGACACTGTCCGTGCATTCAACACTAGTCTCTGACTAAATTACCTGTCTCATGGTCTGCCTGTCATATCCTGAGAGCAGTGGCTACAAATGTAACTGATCAATAGTTACACCATCTACCTCAGGGATCACAACTCTTTCAGTTTTCTTGGAAAGATCTAAACAGAATCATTGAGCATTCAAGGCAAAAAGGACATACCACATTTATTATAATTTGAGTCACTTATCACTTATATTTTTAGCGCTGTTCTTTTTTCAATGAACTTGAGTCTAAACCGGTACCATTCATTATGCTGATCAGCTAGTCCATGTGTACATGTTTTGGAAGTGTGAGTGAGGGTTGTTGCAATAACCAATTTTAGATCATGTCAGGTGGTTGTTAATTGGTGTATTAAGTAAGAAAAAAAGTACCGATTTTTTATCAATAAATTAATACTATTTTGTACTTCATTTTGACTCTCTGACCCTCATTAATACTGCTTTTTGTCTTGATCTTAACCCGATCTTTTCAAAATCTTCCTTTTGTCTTGTTTAACAGTTGGGGGTTGTTCCTGAGAGTCATTTTGACATTTAATTCACCTAATTTTGGTTTCAATTAAAATTGGGTTTGGACTCTGGGTATATACCCTCCTTCTTTTGATGCAGTACCCAGACCCCCTTGCCTTTTTTATGGGCAATAACTTGCTTGCCATGGGATCGCCGGTCTTAAAGGGGGACAATCTTTTCTGAAAGTTCTACCCCTATTGACCCCCCCATTGCGAACCAAACTCAGGCCTGTTGTAGTCCATATGTTCTCTTATTGAGCAACGTTCAAATACCAGGAAGTGCATAATTGGCAGTTAGTAAATCTCATTACTTTTTCACCGCCACTTAAAACCGTGCAAAATAGCACACAGCCTACAATAAACATCCTTCTATTTACTTCCACTGGCCAAAAGGATGACCAGACACAAGGAAAAAAAGGTGTGGGCATCCCCATGGCACACAGTAAGATGATTCATGACCTCTTTAACAACAGGCCTATTCCAGAGCATGTTAACATGGTACACTCTTCCCATGCCTCCTCCGATGATTCAGGTCCAAAGAAAGCTTCACTTTAAGGGCTTTCAAGTATAGTAGGGCCCACAGGTCACATGATGCCCTATGCAGGCCTTTTATCCTCCATTCAAACAAATATTTAAAGTGTAACTAACCTCAGCCTAGGGATGTCTCGGAGCAAATACAGGAAATATAGCAAATTCAGGAAGTATACCAGGGACCCGGAGAGCAAAGTAGATGAGGTTGTGGACACTCTGAAGGCTGACAGAAAAAACGGCTAAGAAAAGAGACCCTGGAAGCTGCAACCATAGTCCCAGGAAATAGAGCAAGAACCCAAGAATTTGAGGGTGGCTGGAGTCCATCACAATCTTTAAAGAAACAGCCCAGTTTATTCTTACAAAACAAAAAGAGGCAACCGGAGCGCCACAATCTAGGTTGTTAGATGAAAGTAGTCACTCGCACTCCATGATATTAAAGTCAATGCTGTTTATTGACTGAGATAGCACACATATCCTTAGCGACGTTTCAAGACCATGCGGCCTCATCCTCAGGCAAACAGAGAGTGCAATGGGACAGGAGGATTAAGTTACAATCTAGGTTGTGGCCCTACGGTTCTCTTTTTGTTTTTCCAGAATACACACCAGACACCACGGTCATACCACTTTTTTGTGTCATACCAATACAAACAAAAGAAATAAACATGATAATGCCTAAGCATTTGTAATTGCAACCATTTTTTGCGCAAAGTGGTGCATTATCTGACAGAAATGCAGGGGTACCAATATTTTTGGCCATGACTATATATTGCAAGATATGCATGATATATTGCAAGAATGTTGGCTAACTTCAATGCAGCTTCTTCATTCCTTTCTTGATTAGAAATGTATACCTGTGTTGTATTTACTTTCTGTGAGCTCAGTGGGAGAGCATGCCAGTTAATTTCACACAAACAGTCACAGTGTTTCAATGAGAGGAAAACTGATGCAAGAAAATCTGTGAGCAAATCACATTAACAAGAAGTGATATTTCAGGAATAATCTGAAGACATGCAGTGCTAAGAATACATCCATGCCATGTTTACAAGAAATCAAAGTACAGTATTACAGTTTTGTCAAAACATCATTTTCTAAAAGAGTAGAAACCATTTAATGTTTAAATTAATTTAGTCCCAAATTCTTCTATACCTACACGTCCTTATTTCATTTTCAGTTTCTTCCTTTTGTGGTACCTCAGCAATCTGCATTTTAGGAGATGTCTCCAGTCTATGAATACCAGTGATTACTTCCCTAATGAGTTTTGAGCATCTTCTTTATGATCTCTAAGAGGGTTATTCACAAAGCTGCCGAAGGCTCTGCATGTTCGACTGAACCGAAGTGCAGAAGGACTGCAACATCCAACATCTGGATCGGCTGAGCCGAAGCTCTGGCAGCTCACTTGCTACCGTTCGCCCCTATTCACATTGGGGCCGAAACGGCAGTGAGTCAATAGCCGAATGCCGTCGAGCGGCATTTGGCTCAGCTATTCTGCTTGCTACCTCCGTGGTAACGAGCAGAATAGGAACTCAATGAAAAAAGTTGAAAAAAAGTAAAAGAAAAAAAGTTTTAAAATGTAAATAAAAAATAAATGTAAAAAAATAAAGTTTTTTTTAAAAATAAAAAAATAATTTAAAAAAAAACAATTGGACGGAGCTAGCAGTTGTTGTTATAAAAACGTCCAACAAGATTTTGGAGTGTTTGAAAGTGTGCCATTTTCATTAAAAAAAAGCATTTGTGGAGTCCGGTACTGATATTAGAAAGAAGACTTGGCTTCCAAATGGTGTTGCAATAATTCTCAAAGGAGTTCAGTACTGTTGATGTCCAGACTTTCTGCAGGCCTCTTGGGTTTCATCAACAAACTCACCAACCAATGTCTTATGGAACTGAGCAAAGGCATGCTGGGTACAGAAAATTACATTTTCCAAACTGTTGACGCAAGGTTGGAACTGCACAATGGTCTAAAATACAAAGCTACAGTTTTGCCCCATTTCCTAAATGCAGCAAAGAGGCTAATACCGAGATATTGGAAGAGCCAAAAGGTACCCACAAGAGCAGACTGGGTAAGGCAGGTAAATTGTATTATGGAATCTGAAAAGTGGATAGCAATGGGTAGAGAGAACCATGATGCGTTCCTCAGTAAATGGGATGTTTGGATGGATTATAGCCTGATGAACCTTTAGGGTGGGAACTTTGGGGGAGGGTTTTGGAATATGGAAATATGTTTTTTTTTTTTTTTAAGAGGGTATGCAATGTATCTTTTTACTTGTTATTTATTATTATTTTGTTTTTGGTTGAGGCTTTTTTTGCTAGATTCATGACCTATGGAGTTAGTCTTGAATATATATTTGCTATGGGATATTGGTAACTCAGGAAATTTTCTTCTTTTTCTTATGTTCTGTTTGTATGGAAATGTAAATGTTTTTGAATTGGTAGAGATAAAATTAAAAATAAAGATTTAACCAAAAAAAAAAAATGTCTTTGTATGCTATAGAATTAACAGTACCCTTCAATGTTCCATGAAGGCAGTGGAACTTAATAATATGAAGTGGTATCCATATTCTTTTGGCCATATAGGTAACTGTGATATGGTGGTGTCCACATATGTTTGTCTATTTAGCACATATAAAAAAAATTGTTGTTTAACTGGGTTCCCAGTATTGCACTTTTTTTTCTCAATTGTGATACTCTACAATTTTCCATGAGCACTTCACAAAGCACCATATTCACTGACGTTCTTCAGGTTTGTTAGCAATGCCACATCCTAGCAATGCCACTTCATGATTAAAACTATTTGCATGTCTTTTAGAACCCGAGTTGCATATTATTTAAAATTGTGAGATTTGCTTATTTATTATAAATTTTACTACTTATATTTTTTTTACCTCACACTAAACTAACATCTTCTACTGATGACTTCCCCATTCAGTTTTTGTTCTCCCCCTTGTAGGAGAAACATTTGCACATGTTTTTCTCTAAACATGACTTTCAATAAGTGCTAGCATGGCCTACAGAACAGATACAGTCAAATACAACAAAACTTGACAAAATCTTTGTAATATATTGTTGACCTACAGTAAATGTGTTTTTTTCTCAACAATACTGGAGTTGCCATTTAATAACTGAGGATAAGCTCAGATAAATGCTCATGATAAATGCTTTAGCTGGCTTGGGTGTTGGGTTGGAGTTTATAGGGAACTAATAAAATATTTAATATTCATTACATTTTAGCATATTTAATATTAAGATTAATGTATATCATTTATAGTCTGAAATCTTGAAACAGATGACTCTAGACTATACATACCTGATGACTGTTAGACTCTACATACCTGTTTACCCATCTGATCCTTCTTCATTAGTCCTGTGGCAACAGCAATGTTTCCAGCACCCTCCACTGTTCTGTGTGCTACTGCAGTCACTCCTGTAACTACTGCTCCACCCACATGAGAAACTTGTTCTTTGGTCTTTTCAGCCACTGATGAAAATATATAAGGAAAAGAAAATGAAAGCATTTTGATCTTGAAATGTATAGTATGAAATACAATATATAAAATATACAGTATTATGGTTAATTAATAAGTCAAAGAGTGAATGACAATAGCCAACAGCAACCAATCAGAGTTAATGTTTTATTTGTTTTGACAAATGTGATTATCTGAATGGTAGGTGAATTATTCTAGTAGGTAAGAACTTGGTTAATGTATGCTGTGACTGCAAGCACCTTTAACCTAAGGATAAGTTAAACCTTTTAAGGTCCATCTCATTGGAATGTATTTTTACTTTGAGGATACAATAAATGTTATCATTAGGGATGCACCGATACTTTTCAGATACCAGTGCAGATACTTGACATTTCCATGAGAACTACCAGGGTTGCAACGATTGCAGCTATGCCAGGGCTCTGGTGCTCCACCACTGTCCTGAAATCATTAGTCTGACAATAAACAAAACTGTATCAGTACTTGTACTTGTAAGTACTTGGGCAAGTATCAGTACTTGTACTTCCAAAAATGGTATCGGTGCATCCCTTTATATATTTATTAAAACAAAATCATACATTAAAACAGTGATGTACAAATCCCTGGAGCTCTGTGTGCTCCTTACAAATGACAGCTACCTCCTAACTTTTGAAGTTTCCGCTAGTCTAGTCTTGGAGCTGGAAAAATATCTGGACATGTACTTGTACCGAGTACAGTACTTGGTATTGATGCATCCCTAGTTATCATGATATTATTTTTGACCATTTCCAAGCACTGATATAGTATAAATCATATTTTGCAAGGAGGAAGTTATGACGGGTGCTCTTTGTCTATTTTAATTTGATATAAGGTGGTTTCATATTAGCTGCAGAATATACCATGGAGTGTACTACATTTGTGAATATTAAATTATTAAATAATCCAAAATATTTAAAAAGTGATGTCAACTATAATCAAAAATATGCTAATTATCAGGCTGAACAACTCCACAATTATTTGAATTATAGCTATTTATTTAATTACAATTCTTAAGCCATACTGTCAACTAAATAGCCATGACCTCTTGGGGGTCCAATGTAAGGCACAATACACTGTAAATCTAGTCCACAATAATCAAGGAAAGTCCACTAATAAAGATATTTACATCAGCACATTACATTGCAAGAGAATTCCCTTAGTCTGTAAAATGGTTTATGTATTGAGCCACAATATCTGTTCTAAGAAGACATTAATTTCTAAGATAAATCAATAAAAAATATTTGGTTTTAAAATAACTTTTTAGGTCTTAGAGCCCCAGTGGTCATCACCTGGTTGTGGATGTGTACATTAATTTTTTATACACTGGGGTTGTGGGTGGAATTCCCTTTTTTTATACACATATTGTTTGATTGACAGTCACATTGGTTGTATTTATTTATTGTTTGTGTTTAATTTTGTGGTTTGTTCACATTCAATATTATAATTGTGCCATTATTTAGGATAGTGCGGCACATACATACATACTTGCATTTGAAAGTCTTAGAGCCCTTTCACACCCGATGTGTTCAGGCTGTGCTGGGCATTTTTTCCAGTACAGCCCGAACGAAAGACAAGGCAAATTGTCACGGGTGGGCACAGTACACACCACCGCGTTGTGGTGGTGTGCACTTAAAATAAGTGCAGCATACAGTACTTTTTTAAGGTGTACCGCAGTGAGACGCAGTACAACTGCATTGCACTGCGGTATGCCCATAGAGCCTGCTGAAATGTTACTTGTGACATTTCAATAAAGTTCTAACAAAAATAATGAAACAGTGCCATCTGTCTCAATCGCATTGGCACTGTGCCAGGCATAGGCACACCAGCAGCCCTGTGGTTGAGCAAGCCCTCTATGTGAAATTGAATTTACATTACATAAATAACATTGGCATAATTTTGTTAGTGTCATGCATTACAAAGGGCACATAAAAACAGAAGTTTTTTCAATACCTGCTGTAACTCCATGCACAACGCCTTCTTTTGTCTTGGAACCTGAGGGAAATAAAGGTAACACAATTCACAAATCAGTGAAGAGTAAACCATATGCTGATTTATTTGTAATAATGTGAGATAAAGTTGATGACCCAGTATGTAAATACTGGTGTGTGATCATATAATACCTCTCTAAGATTTCACTATAGGAATGTATGATGAATTGGAAGAACTAGAACTATAATATCTTGAACTCCGCTTACACTCTCTTTTAGTTCTCTTTTTTTGCAGGTGAGTACAAGAAGGTATCATAACAAAATAATTGATACCAGCTGTATATAAAATACATTAAATACTTTTTTTAAATGACTACTATTTACATAAAACTGTGCCTTATCAACATGGACTTCAGCCTTAAATTGTTGAAAAACAACTAGAGGCAAAAACTAGAAATAATAAAATTATGCAAAAGACCATTATATTTAATCAAAGGCCTTAAATTGTTTCTTGTCCCTTGTTCCCCCGACAAAGGTGACTGAAACATGAAGACATATGAGCACATCTGCTGAGGTTGTGTATCTTTAAAATGATTCTTTTGCTTCTCAGCTTGACAACTGGAATTCTGTATTAGCTCTCAATATCACACTTCACATCTCATTTTATGACTCATTTGTCATCCTCACAATTTATAGTGAATCAGATTAACAAGTACAAGTGCCGTCCATCTGTGGTGCTAGAATTTTGCTCTACTGAAGCCCTACTTTTTGGCAGGTTCAAATTTCAAAAGCAAACTTGATTCTAGAACATTAATCACATCAGTCATGTACATAGATATTTTTGCCATACTAATGAATGTAATTAGAGAATACAGCCATCTCTAATGGTTTACCTTGAGAAATATTTTACTATTGATAAAGCAGCAGTGTGCATACTAGGGGGGGTGGGGCGGGCTCTTTTATATTATAAAATATATACGGAAATTAAAAGAGAGAATATTATCCATTATCTGTTAAAAATGCGTAAAGCTAATCACTGAACATTTTGAAAATAAATTGTCCTTCGAGTATAGATCTGATATGTGAAAAAAATAGATATTTTATGACCCAAAGATATAGTTAACTTGACTTTATAAATCAATATTTCATTTAGTACAGCTCTAGCCTGGGACTATATAGCACCCCTAGCATATGAAGCACATAAGTCTTAAAGCTGAGCTCTAGCTAAATACACAATTGACATACACATAAGGGAGCTAATTTGTCTGTCCAGTTCTGAGATTCACATAGCCTTCTCACACAAGAAAGCCAAGTGAATAAAAAGATCTTCAGCACTTATACCATCATGCCCCCTATATATATTAAATACTGAAGTGCATATATCCATTATAAATTGTTTTAATGAAGAAAAAAACACTGTGCAAAAAAAACAAATATATATGCACACATACATATACAGTATCTCACAGGAGAATACGGAAATTAAAAGAGAGAATATTATCCATTATCTGTTAAAAATGCGTAAAGCTAATCACTGAACATTTTGAAAATAAATTGTCCTTCGAGTATAGATCTGATATGTGAAAAAAATAGATATTTTATGACCCAAAGATATAGTTAACTTGACTTTATAAATCAATATTTCATTTAGTACAGCTCTAGCCTGGGACTATATAGCACCCCTAGCATATGAAGCACATAAGTCTTAAAGCTGAGCTCTAGCTAAATACACAATTGACATACACATAAGGGAGCTAATTTGTCTGTCCAGTTCTGAGATTCACATAGCCTTCTCACACAAGAAAGCCAAGTGAATAAAAAGATCTTCAGCACTTATACCATCATGCCCCCTATATATATTAAATACTGAAGTGCATATATCCATTATAAATTGTTTTAATGAAGAAAAAAACACTGTGCAAAAAAAACAAATATATATGCACACATACATATACAGTATCTCACAGGAGTGAGTACACCCCTCACATTTTTGTAAATATTTTAAGATATCATTTCATGGGACGACACAGAAGAAATGACACTTTGCTACAATGTAAAGTAGTGAGTATACAGCGTGTATATCAGTGTACATTTGGTGCCCCCTCAAAATAACTCACAGCCAATAATGTCTAAACCGCTGGCAACAAAAGTTAATAGACCCCTAAGTGAAAATGTCCAAATTGGGACCAATTAGCCATTTTCCCTCCTCGGTGCCATGTGACTCGTTAGTGTTACAAGGTCTCAGGTGTGAATGGGGAGCGGGTGTGTTAAATTTGTTGTTATCGCTCTCACTCTCTCATACTGGTCACTGGAAGTTCAACATGGCACCTCATGGCAAAAAACTCTCTGAGGATCTGAAAAAAAGAATTGTTGCTCTACATAAAGATGGCCTAGGCTATAAGAAGATTGCCAAGACCCTGAAACTGAGCTGCAGCACAGTAGCCAAGACCATACAGCAGTTTAACAGGACAGGTTCCACTCATAATTGGCCTCGCCATGGTCGACCAAAGAAGTTGAGTGCACGTGCTCAGCGTCATATCCAGAGGTTGTTTTTGGGAAATAGACGTATGAGTGCTGCCAGCATTGCTGCAGAGGTTGAAGGGGTGGGGGGTCAGCCTGTCAGTGCTCAGACCATACGCCGCACACTGCATCAAATTGGTCTGCATGGCTGTCATCCCAGAAGGAAGCCTCTTCTAAAGATGATGCAAGAAAGCCCGCAAACAGTTTGCTGAAGAAAAGCAGACTAAGGACATGGATTACTGGAACCATGTCCCGTGGTCTGATGAGGCCAAGATAAACTTATTTGGTTCAGATGGTGTCAAGCGTGTGTGGCGGCAGCCAGGTGAGGAGTACAAAGACACGTGTGTCTTGCCTACAGTCAAGCATGGTGGTGGGAGTGTCATAGTCTGGGGCTGCATGAGTACTGCCGGCACTGGGGAGCTACAGTTCATTGAGGGAACCATGAATGCCAACATGTACTGTGACATACTGAAGCAGAGCATGTTCCCCTCCCTTCGGAGACTGGGTTGCAGGGCAGTATTCCAACATGATAACGACCCCAAACACACCTCCAAGACAACCACTGCCTTGCTAAAGAAGCTGAGGGTAAAGGTGATGGACTGGTCAAGCATGTCTCCAGGCCTAAACCCTATTGAGCATCTGTGGGGCATCCTCAAATGGAAGGTGTAGGAGCACAGGTTCTCTAACATCCACCAGCTCCGTGATGTCGTCATGGAGGAGTGGAAGAGGACTCCAGTGGCAACCTGTGAAGCTCTGGTGAACTCCATGCCCAAGGGGGTTAAGGCAGTGCTGGAAAATGATGGTGGCCACACAAAATATTGACACTTTGGGCCCAATTTGGACATTTTCACTTAGGGGTGTACTCACTTTGTTGCCAGCGGTTTAGATATTATGGCTGTGTCTTGAGTTATTTTGAGGCTACAGCAGATGTACACAGATATACAAGCTTTACACTCACTACTTTACATTGTAACAAAGTGTCATTTCTTCTGTGTCGTCACATTAAATGCTAAAATAAAATATTTACAAAAATGTGAGGGGTGTACTCACTTCTTTGAGATACAGAAAGCCTTAAAATTCCGTTCAACCCGTGAAGCCGCAAAAAAGTAAATACCCAAAATTTCCCATAGGCAACATTTTAAACGCTTTTACCGTTCATCAGTTTAGTGTTGTCAGTGATTGATGGCCCTAGAAATATTGCTCTCACTCCGACGTTCACGGCGATATGTAACATGTGTAGCGCAATTGTCGTTTTTGCACATAGCACCGATGTGTGTTTGCGTGTGTATGTGCGTGCATGTGGGGGGCGGGGGACTTTAAAACATTTTTTTTGCATTTTTTTCTTTTTCTTTTGTGTTACTTAATTTTTATAACTTTTAAACACTTAATTTTTTTTACACTAACCCTATTGCTATTACAAGCACCCTGTGTGACAGGTCCACTTTATGGAGACATCAGGGGTCTTTCAGACCCCTAATGTCACCAAGGTATCCCTTAAAGACATTTTACGGAGGAACCCCACCTCCAGAAATGGGGGGGGGGAAGCAAAGTAAGAAAGGGGGGCAGGGCAGGAAAGGGGGGACGAGCGAGCGCCCCGCTCCCTGCCGTAACCAGCCCACATGCCCTCTGCACTGGGAGGGTGCTATTCCAGGGTCTCCTGGAAGAACGGTCGATCTTCTTCCTGCTTCAGCTGTCACTACGGCTCAGCTGAGCCGAAGCATATGCATTCAGCTCGGCTGCTGTACAGGCTATTGTGAATAGCCCATATAGCAGTCCTTCGGTTCAATTGAACCGAATGGCTCCGGCAGCCGAAGTGAGCCTAAGGATCAGCTTAAGCTACAGCTGGATCCTTCAGCTCTTTAGTGAATAACCCTCTAAGAGTTTGTAAAAGGATGACTGGTTCTCCTTAAAGAGAAACTCCTCCCATTCTCCACATGTCACGTCTAACACAATAAGAATTTGCCATTCTTGTAATGTAGTGTGTTTTTTAAATAATTTGATTTGTTTTCTCCTACTTCACTACTCAGGACCTACAGAGTGCCACTGGCATATAAGGCAAATAAGACCTTATTTGTGTACAGCACTAAAGTTTATTAACCCTGTGGAATAATACTGTTTATGTAATATAATGACGATACTATTGGCTGTAATGTACTGAAGATCTAGAAGTCCATGGGAAGTCCATGGGAAGAATGTGGTCAGGGCACAACTCATATTTATAATGTTACAGTTTTTTTGGTCTAGCCCTTCTAGTAAATTAAATTCTGTGCAATTTATAGATTACTACAGAGTTTGCCTCTCATTACCAACTTTTACAAAAACGACTGTCTAATCACTGTAATGATAAGCCCCTTGAATGCACTGTTAAAGAATTGTCTATGCTCCTATGAAGATCAAAACAAGCAAAATTGTCTTCAGTAGATTCTCCACAGCCTTTCGCTTTTGATGCTGGAATCTGCCACCCCACTAGAAAACTGGTAGCATAAAGACAGTACTGAAGATGTGCAGCCAAGGCAGCATGAATAATGATTCACCACAAATCTCATTGATCCTATTATTATCAGACAAGGCAAACGACCACAATTAAAGCATCTGTTCATTAACCTATGTGCCTTATGGCTAGCAGGTCATGATCTAATCTACATATCCACTTGATTGCCCTGATTAGGTAGTACACAGACCAAGGATAGAACAGAAATTTTATAATCTAAAATGTCTGTCTGGAATCCATCTTGAATGAAGCTTATATCACCCTGTTAGTTAAGAAAATATATTTCAATGTAAGATGTCAACCTTTTGCAAGCCTCCAGCATATCTTATGCTGTATGCCACAGGTCATCCTGCCTTTCTGGGAATTTTCAAATTGCATGATCTCCCAAAATACACCACTTGAAAAATTGGCAGTTGTGTTAATGTTCAGTGACAGAGAAAAGTCACGCAGTAATTAGAAGGGAGAGAGGGTAAGCCATGGGTTCAAAGCACGTATAGACCACCATAATATATATATATAATAATTTTTTTTTCAGGCAGAATGGTACAAGTGTTTGATTGTGACATTTCTCAAAAATCTATAACCTTATACTGCTCCCAGCCTTATAAATAGCTGATATATATAATAGCTAATATGCCATCTTTGTATATGATGGCATCCATTTGCCCATTGATATTGGCCAAGAAAATCCAGGTTATCTTTGAAATGTTGAATAATGTACAGATTTCCTTTTGTCCAAAATACAAACTTCTTTCAGACTGTGTGAAAAGAACACGAATGCAAATTACACGGTGCAGATGTCATTATTCTTGAGGGAAATCAAAATCTGCCCTCAGTGTAACAGCTGACAGTTTATTGATTAGTTTGTACCTACCCATGTAAAGGACGCCCTCTTTTGTCTTTCCTGCTGCTTCCGCCACACCCTGCTTGGTTTTTTCTGCAGCTGCCACAACTCCCTCTTTAGCTTTGGAAAGACCTTTCATAAAGACGTCCATGGCTAACAATTGTGTTTTCAGAAGTGCTGGAAAACAGAAGTCATTCGTGTGAAATCATCAGTGATTACCCCTTTAGCAGCACAAACACAAAGCATTATCTACCGTATAGTAAAAAAAAAAAAAAATCTGAATCCATCCATGAGGACAATTCCAGGCTATTAATTTCCTGATATTTTACACTTTCACCTTAAGACCTATCACAAGCACTTCTGACACTCACAGCCCTTTTATACTCCACCCACTGTAGTACAACATGCCATTAAGTCATATAAATATAATTACAGTCAATTTACACTGGCAACCTCTTTTACAGCACAGCCATATAACGGTACAGTAATGCCTCATTTTGTTTTATATATCTATTGATTGTTTATGAGCAACAGAGCTCATTAACACCAACAGATATAATTAAAAGTTCTATTATACGTATGTATGTACACACACATTTATTCATAAACATATATAAACATAAAGGTAGATAGAGAGCTAGATAGATAGATAGATAGATAGATAGATAGATAGATAGATAGATAGGATAGATAATCTCCCATTATTAATTGCATAGAAGATGCAGAAGATGTGCTTTGGTATTAGAGGTGAGGCAGTTATTACTTCATTATTTTACTTTGGACATAATAAACAATGGCAATGTGTAACAGTATCTATATTAAAATAATCCTCATTTATAGCCCTAATCACCCCAAGAAAATGCTCACATTTTAGTACAATTTATTAAGTGCATTGTCTATATATGCAATTATACTTACATGAGCCTTTGGTTGAAGAGTGTCCAGTAGGGATGACACCTGCCTTTCTGTAGTCAGTAAACAGTAAAAAAAAAGAGAAAAAATCAGTTCATCTCACTTAAATCCTACACGTTCATTCAAGAAAAGACCTGATGGAATGTAGACTATTTAAACTAGTTGGGGGCAGCTGGTAAGGATTTTAAAATGTTAATGGTATAAAAAATATAAATAGAAGGTGGCAGAAAGGAAAATGGTATAGAGATGACTTTTATTGTAAAGGAGTAGCTCCTTCGTTTGACTAGTCTTCTCTTCATTCCCAACACCCTCTCCTTCTCCCTCCTCCTTTTCCTTTCTACATGCCTGATTTGTCAGTGTGAAAACTGAAAAATTGCAAGCAACCTCCCCAAGCTGGACCACTTGTATGCTCCCTGCTCCTCTTGCAAACAATGTGAGCCATTATCAGCAGGATTCCTACAGATTAAGGACTTCAGGTCACATCAGAAAATGATTACTTGGATCTTGCTAATTAGCCGTACACATGCCGAAAAGCAGCAAGAACATCTGTCCAGAAATGGAAGCTAAAAAAGCAGTAGATATATCAGCCACAGAAAATACACATAAACAGCTTACTCAAATAGGCAGCTGGGATTGTCACGCTGTGCTAAATTATTCATTGCTAAATAATTGTGGTTGCACAATAAATAATTCGATCTACAAAACCACATTTACTTAAGTGTTAACAGATAAGCATTGGGTACAATTAGTTTTATTTATGACTAATAATATTATATACAGAATAAAAACATAAACATGTAACATGTTCCTTTATAATAGCTGTATTTACTCTTTTATTCAAGCAAGGTTCACTGATCTATAACCAAACCCTGTAATATTTTTTTCAATTGAGAAATAACAGACTCCAATCGCTCTTTTAGCATCATAAAGGAAAGTGTATTTTTTTAAAAGATAATGGACAGAGATAAAAATTACAGAGCTACCATAGAAAAGAAAGAAAACACGTTATGTATTAGGCTTAATAAAGTGGGTGCAGTAGTTTGGGTCATACAATTGCGGTCATCAAAAAAGATATAAAGGTCTGTTAATGAAGGTTTTCACACAACATAAACCCAGCTTTCATCCGAAATGCATTACATTTGTGCATCAGATTCAGTTAGAAAAATTAGTGAATCATGGGTGGAAACATTGATAAATAGACTCCATAAAGATTCAGAAATAAAGTTAGTACATCTAAAAATAATATCTCACCTGAATATACAAAAATCATAGAAGATTCACACTGCCTTATCCCTTAAAGTTGGGATTCGGGGTAAACAAATATTGACTAAATACAAGAGGCATGTGTATTTTTATTTGAATACTGGTCTCCTTGGTTCAGATGTGTGCAGTAATCAGGCATGAAAACGCCTTTGTTAATATCTTGGGCAATTGCTGCACACAATAAGGATATACATCTTTTAGGGTTCAGATTTAGCCTCTAAACCTAAAGCTTAAATTGAACTTAATCCCTAAAACTAACCCAAAACCCTGACTTAACACTTAAACCTAACCATTAGCCATAACCTAACCCATCAATGTAACCTTTTCTTTGAGGATAGACACTATGCAACCTAAACCTTGCCTTTAAACTCTCTTAATTTAAAGCTTTTCATACACGTATCATTTTTTACTCAACTTTCCCATCCATGCTAAACAGTGTGGACGCTAAAGCTACCCCATCAGTCATTCATTAAAAGATGGGGTAGCTACAATCATTGTTCGACCAAGACCAATTGTTTGACCAAGACCAGCTCCTCCAACAAAAGTACATAGAAAAATAAAATTTCAATGGAGGAGTGCTTGAAATTTGAGCAGTGTATGGATAGCTTACAGGTTGCTCTTTCACCAAACTTTACCCTTAACCTGTCTTATCCTAAAGGTACCCCTAAACCTTACCCTAACTTGCTGTTACCTAAACTTGCCCTTACACCTAGCTCTCTACCTGTTGAGAGGGCTGCCAGAGAATGTAGGGATGCAGTGTGGTGGTGTGGGAGCTGCCAGGGAATATAGTGAGGGAGAAAGAGGCATCAGCAAGAGAACACAGGAGGATTGGGGGAGGAGAAGTCAGAAAGTTAGTGAGGACAGGGAGCTGAACTGTTAGAGAAGGTAGAATTGCTAGATAATGCAGTGCATACATTGAAAGAGAGCTGCCAGGAAATCTACTACACACAGTGTGGGGAGAGCTGTAACAGAGGCAAGTACACACAAACACTGAAAAAAATGTTGATATAGAATTGTGATTTTACTTGAAGAAGAAATTAAACATGGTTTCTACCAGCAAATACAGTATATCTTGTTTTTTGGCAATCCCATCAACATTCAAAGACAATTGTGTCAATTCCTGGAGGATATGGACTTTAATATTAACACATACAGTAGAATAAACTACAGCTTCCAAACTGAAACAGATCAAGAATTTCTGGCATCACAGCTCTGGTATCTTTCAGATGACATTGTGACAAAGGCTAGATAAGAATACAGTACAAAGGCTTAGTTTAGGGATTAAATTAGGTTAGGCTGGGTTCACACCTAGGCGTACGGAATATGCGCGTTTCGTGTCGTGCGTTTTTACAGTGATTTGCGGTAAAAGAAACAAACGCGCGTTTCCGAGGGCTATCCGGCTGTATCCTAATGGATACGCGCGGCAAATACGCCCCAAAGAAGCTCCTGTACTTCGTTTGGGCGTAGGGCATTTTGCAGTGCGTTCCTACGCGCTGTAAAACGCCCAGGTGGGAACCATGCCCATGGGCAATCATTGGCTTTCACATATTGAGTGTTTTACAGCACGTAGGAACGCGCTGTAAAACGCCCAGGTGTGAACCAGGCCTTAATGTTTTGGTCTGAAATAAGGGACCTTTAAAACTAAAAGTGGGGGAGGGAGAGTTTGGGGGCAGAGGTAAGTGTTAGGACCAGTTCTCACCACCAGGGTTGGGCTGCCTTCCCCAATGTAACCCCAACACCAGGACAAAACAAATAGTCTTAATTTTGTATAGTATCAGTGCACTGAAAATAATTAGGACAGGTTTCCTTTTTTAATACAGCCCATTATGTTGTATTGTAATGCACTGTAAAAAAAAAACGTCAATCACGGGGTGAAAAAGGGAAAAAACATACTGCAATGTGTGTAAAATGCATTGCAGCGCTATGTAAAATTGCGAAACTAGTGAGGCTGTGGTATGCACACTCTAACGCATTTGCTAGGGGGTGAATGAGGCATTGTCAGTACCAGGAACTCCTTTTGTCCATGGGTGGTAGGTAACTTAATGTGAACAGTCAAGGATCAAGATTCTGACACAAAACTTCTCCTTCTCCCACAAAGCAGTGACAGAGGCCAAGCATTTGGTAATCCAAATTCCAAAACTGTCTTGCACTGTGATTGCATACCAGGTACAAACAAACAATCCAGAAATAGCCGCACTCCAAGGGTCTTCACCGAAGATATCTCTATGAGTGAGCCGAAATGGTGAAATGCATTAGAGCAGTGGTCACCAAACGATGGTCCGCAGACCACTGGTGGTCTGTGAGAAAATGTTGGTGTTCCGCAGAAAAATCTAGACATTATTTGCATTTTTTATGTTTTATTACTGACTCAAGCAGCGGCTGTCACAAGGAATGCGTGGCTCTCAGTACAGGCAGCCAGTGATCTGAGAAGCGGCATGTTCCTTATTATAGCCATAAAGCATTTATAATTTTGTTATATTAAATAGGTGCATTCCATATTAATAAAATGGAAGTTCTCTGATCATTATTTTACAAATGTGTTTATCTTTTTACAAAATTCATATTAGTGGTCCGCGGGATTTAAAATGATGAATTTAGTGGCCCATGAGGTCCGAAAGGTTGGCGACCACTGCATTAGAGGGTGAGCACACATGGGGAGGAACTAACAGTATGTATTTGCTCCATAAATAAAGATTTTTATCTTCAGTGAAGACCCTTGGAGTGTGAATACTTCTGGATTTAGAGGCAAAGCATTATTTGCTTAATGAAGTTTGCAACATGTATCTCACTGCGCTGTAATTAATCAGTTTTTCTAGTTTTTATTTCTATTTTTTATAGATTTTATAGTGTTTGAAAATATAAAGCTGTCAGAAAAAAAATATAATATATATAAAAATATAATAATATATATATAATTGTTTTTATAATATATATAAAAGAATGAATCATGGAAAGATCAGACACATGAAGATACTCAACTGTCTTGTCATCACCAAACAAATGTAGCTACCAAAGATTTGGTTAGGTTTTAGGGCCGATGCAGACCTGAGCGATTCAGGAAGCATGTCCCGGGGTCATGCACAATTGCAGACAGCGTGGGCCCCTTTGATTTAAATGGGGTACATCTGCGTGGCAATCGCAGAAAAAGGTACCTGGTTGCACAGGCGGAATCGCGACAGGAAACCTTGCGATCCACCCGATGCGACTGGGGTGCCATTAGAAAATAATGGCACCCACAGCACGCTCTCGGTGATGGGTGACTCGGTGACCAGCGTAGTATTGTGCACGATTGCCGCGCAGTCACGGATAGCCCAGGTGTGCACCAGCCCTTAGAAAAAGCTAAAATGATAGGCAGTTCTAATTATTCTGAAACAAAATCATTCCATCAAATGAATTACCTTTTTAATGTGTGAACATATTAGTAGGTGAGATAAATGCATTAAAGGGAGGGTGGAGCTATGGTAGGGAATTAACTATTTCTGTAGTAGTCAGATTTTCTAGCAACACATTGCAAGTGAATACAAATAATTAATGGAAAGGAAAAACGCTGTACAAATGCTTGCTTTTGTGCACTTTTACCTGCATTTTTTAAGCTGGTGGCAGGGTGTCTTTAACCTCCTGAAATTGTTCATTATCTCTCATGCTAGTGGAGATTGTGGTGTCTTTTAGATCGATAACACTGCATGAAAAAACCTAGGAAAATGTTAAATTGCTTATTCACCCGATTATTAAGCAAAAACATTTGTCATTTTGTCACCTATAAATCAGTTATTGATTTCTTATGTTTCTACAGAAGTACTTTTTACATATGGATTTCCCTGAAATCAACATTCTCTTTTATTTCCGGAAGTGAATATTAATCATTGTCGTCATCATCATAATATAACTATTATTAAATATGTTGCATTGTACATTATAGATAAACATTGCAGTACAGATGATGTATTAGTGGCTGTCCAGCTAAAAGGAATGTGATCAGTGATTACTGTGAATTCACAACCATAGAGATAGTGTTGTAAGTTTTGTAACGCCCCTACAATTGTCAAGCACTACTTCTCTATGGTTGCGTAGACTACCTCCCTGGGCAGCAGCTTCCGGCTGAGGTACAGGACAGGATGCTCCTCCCCTGCC